CTTGGGTTAATATCCAGCATGCACTGACACATAGGTGCATCTGTGTGCACCAGCACACATAGGTGTCCATGTCCACATGCATAGGCGCCCATTTCGCTGCCAGGTTCGTACATCCTGACAGCGGGGGGTTTTACACACTATCCGGTGGCTGCATGAAACTATCAGTGTATAAAACTAATAATGGTGCCCCCCCCCGCATACCCACACCCCCACCATGTATTCCAGGTATCGCTTGCCCATCTGCGGGTGCCGGTGGATGGAGGGGATTGAGGAGAGTGGACGCATGTCCATTCTCCTCCCCTTTTTCCTGTGACTTGGAAAGCGACGTGTATGACATCACTTCCAGGTCACCCAGTCACTTTCCCCAGCTAGACTAGCCAGAGAGGAATGTATTGCAATGCGATTTGCATTGTAATGCATTCAGTGGAGTCCAGAGGAGACCCCCCATGTTTCATGTCTTAAAGAGAACCTAAAAATAATCACACAGGGGACTTTGTGTATCCCCCCCAAAAAACTGATTGTGATACACATATTACATATCGCTGCACACACTGGAGTGAGATCAATAATTCTAGCACCTCCTCTAAGACCTTCTCCATAGCACTAAACTGATGACCTGTAGGGGCTTTTGAAGTGTCCCGATTAGAAAATATAGGGTACTGAAGTTTGTTGCCATTTCACAGGCGTACACAAATGTAAAGTTTGACATGTTGGATATCTATTTACTCGGTACAATTTTGTCTTTTATATTTTACCTAAAACTTTGGTAATTTATTGTGTTAGTTTGCCCTAAAATTTGCTTTAGTGTGTTTTTTACAGAAATTTTGAGTTTCTTAGACCTTTGTGGTAATATAGTGTGACATAAAAATTGGAACTACCAATATTTTATTCTCTAGGGTGTCTGCTTTTGAGAAAATATATAATGTTAGGGGTTTGTGTAATCTTCAGGCCTAAAATTATTTTTTAAACGTGTGCAAAAAACAAATGCAAAACCAGCTCTGGCAGTGAAATGCTTAAAGGAAATCCTGATGTGTACTAATTGTTAAATGTTCAGCTTCCCTGTGACCTGTGTTCCTGTGTTCTTGCTTATGCTGACTGATCTCCCGTTGCTGGCCCGGCTAGTTCCTGACTTTTCTCTGTGGATTTTGGATACTGACCTCAGCTTGCCTCTGACTACTCTTTCCCTGGAGCAGACCTCAACCTGCTACTGGACTTTGCTCTGCTTGCTTTCCTGGTACTGACCTCAGCCTGACCATGCTTCAGCCTCACCGTGTATGACCCTGACCATGTCTTTGTCTCTGGCAGTCACCTGCTACCAAGCTACCGGCAACCATGTATCTTTGAGACTTCTACCTCTGTCACCACCTTCAGAGGTGCTCATACCAAAGGGAAGCCCTCTCATCAGCTCAGCCTCTAACCAAGGTATGTGACACCCTGCCACTGTGTAAAAGTTGGCAAATATGACACAGGGTTCTCACAAATGCAGAGCGAGGGGCTCCAGAGTGTCTGCACTGAGCATAGAAAGTTGCTCATTGTAATTCCAGGATTTGGGTCTGGAGTTTGGAGGCTTCAAAGGATATTGGGAGGGACAGAGCCTTCAACTCAGTGTCCAGGTCTACTGGAGACTCACAAGCTTTGTGTGTGTGCAGGTGTGCACAGCCTTTATACTAATGGGCCTGGGCATAGTACAAGATTCTGTCCAGGAGACAGATGTGCTCCACCCTCCCCAGAAGTCCATGAGGCAGCAAGGGAGCAGCCAGAAGAGTGCATGTCCAGTAAATTCTGTGAGGGAACAGACAAAGGCCCTAAGCCTGAAGGCCAGAGTAGCAGAGAGCTGCAAAAGGTACAGTTGTTGTACAAGAGCACAGGGGCGATCTAAGGGACCATACCACAGTCTGAAGCCTGAGCATAGGTGTTGCAGGAGAGAGCCAGGAGGCTAATATTTATCTTTCAGGTTTGCACTGACGGTGGAAACCCCAGCGAGGGCAACCTTTTATTTTGCTGGACTTTTCATTCATTTTTAAATAAAATTGGGCTGCCATGCCATGAAACCTGGTTTCTGACTATATGGGGGATGAATTACTATGGGGGACGTGAGCTTACTGAAAAAACACATTAGACTTGAGCCAATACCCCCAACATATCATACTACTGTATATACATTGGGACGTGGATTCTTTTTAGACTGTTGAGCATTTATAATACTTTTCTTTGCTTTGATTAGTATATACAATAGTTTTAAGATAGGGTATTCATGTTTACTCAAATGCTTCTGCCTAAATTGATGATTCTCGGTAAGTAAATAGTGTAGCATCAAATACCTCTATTTTAACAGGAATGAATGGACTCTATGACTTGGAGTTTGATAGGCTTAAGAAGGGGAGGAGACCAAAACATCTTGCCTGGTACCTACCGTACCCCACAATCAGTAGATTGAGGGAACCAGGGAAGAAATAGTTTGTTCAGTTCTTTGTCACCATATCCTATCTTCCTAAAATTGTCATTTTTATTAAATGTGCACCTTACATAGTTACATAGTTAGTCTGGCTGAAAAAAGACAAAAGTCCATCAAGTTCAACCATAAAGAAAAAAAAAAAAGTTTTAATCCTATACCCACAGTTGATCCAAAGGAAGGCAAAAAAACCCAGCAAAGCATGATCCAATTTGCTCCTGCTGGGAAAAAAAATCCTTCCTGATCCCCCGAGAGGCAATTGTATATTCCCTGGATCAACTTTACCTATAAATGTTAGTATCCAGTTATATTCTGTGTATCTAGGAAAGAATGCAGGCCTTTTTTTAAAGCATCCACTGAGCTGGCCAGAACCAACTCTTGAGGGAGACTATTCCACCTTTTCACAGCTCTCACTGTGAAGAAACCTTTCTGTGTTTGGAGATTAAATTTCTTTTCCTTCAGACGTAAAGAGTGCCCCCTTGTCCTCTGTGATGACCTCAGGGTGAATAACTCTACACCGAGTTCACTATATGAACCACTGATGTATTTATACATGTTGATCATATCCCCCTTTAATGTCCTCTTCTCAAGAGAAAATAAATTCAGTTCCTCTAATCTTTCCTCATAGCTGATCTCCTCCATGCCTCTTATCAGTTTGGTTGCCCTTCTCTGTACTTTCTCCAGTACCCCAATGTTCTTCTTGTGAATTGGTGCCCAAAACTGAACTGCATATTCCAAGTAGTAACTAGTATAACTATATGGGAATATTCAGCATGGAAGTACATAGAGCAAGTATGATGTGCTTCTAGGAGACAGTTGTGAAGTACGGGGATTTTGCCAGTGGCTATGAAAAATGTTTTCCGAGGTAAGTATTTTTTTTTTTCTTGTAATGGAGGTCACTTGGCACCCTTTTTAACACTTTAAACTAAGTTGATACTACAGGCAAACTGCCAATACTACAGGCGAACACTCCCAAGAACCACTCCAACTGCTTTGCCCCTCCAGATCCAGGTGTCCCCTGCTGGGGCTTAGTCATGGAGCCACTATAACTAAGCAAAAAATCAATTGATCAATTGATCTCTATGTGCCTTGTTCACAACACTAGTATCAAATGCAGATTTTTTCTGCGCATGAATCTGCAATATGTATAAAAAATGTAAACTGACGTCTCTGCAAGTGAAATCTGCACGTCATTTTCCATCATTTTTCATGCACGTATTGGGGTGAACGAGCCCTTAAACTTATTTTTTAAATTTCTTAAGTAGTGTGCTGGTTCCCAGGCTTAGACAAATGACACCATACACTCCAGGTGCCTGGGAAGGGAGGAGGGGTTTTCTTAGATAAGCACACCCTCTTGCCTGTATGCATGAACTAAGGGCAGAGAGATTCCAGGAAGTAAAAGCTACATGAATTGTCTGCTCTTACTCAAAATGGCCACAGCCAGCAATGCTAGGAGGTGTTTCTAAAAGTGATTTCTCAGCAAAATGAAGATATGGATGGATGGGGGAGTTTGCTTTGAATATTAAAAATGAATTAAGTATTGTTTTTGGTTTGTGGTGCTTGGGTGCAGTGTAGTTCCGCTTTAGACACTGATTTTCCTCCACCAGTTCTTTAACACTGGTTACACTTTCTTCAGATTAAGGGCATATGAGGGCTCTGCTACTCAGTTGTCCCCAACCTGGGGTCCCTGCCCCTAAGACGGGTAGACCATACAGCCGCCAGTCCCCCCCATCCAACAGAGCCTCCATCACTGGCCACCACTGCCTCCTCTCCCAAATTGACTGCTTCTCCTTCCTTAGTTACTTGACAATTTCCATTATCTAGAAGGTAAACACAAGATGTATACTTTATTCCCCATTCCAGTACACTGTAGGATTTACTGAATAAAGATATGGCATTACAACTTCTTTCCATATTGTTTCATCCAGCAATCCCAAGGCAGTGCATAAGGCAAAAATGATTGACATTCCCTTTTAGCATATGGCTGTGTCTTTATGGCTTTGCTGTGGTGTTTCATACATTTGACTTATAAAAGCTTCCATCTAATGGTCCCTCTTTACCCCATCCAAAGGAAGAGCCCTAGAGACCCAATCTCTTACCTTAAATACTTCAAGGACTAGACCCTCAACAGGCCAAATGGCAGACACAACACAGCAAGTAAACCCAAAGAATGACAATAACATAATATAAAACAGTTGACATCTGCCTACAAACCTTAATGAGGGAGGTTGGTACTAGATTACACTAGATTATTTCAAACAAACAAAAGGTTCATGGTGTAGAATTGAGAAGTCTTTCATTCTTGGAAAGGTTAGAATACACAGACTGACCTTTAAAGTTCCACAGTCACACTGCTCTCCATTCTCGATTAAGTAGTTTCCGCACACTGGTGGGGATATAACTCTATCTTTATTAGGTTTATTCATCAGACACTCAAACTTCTGGTTCAAGAGATAAGTCTTGTAATTGTTCACGCTGCAGATACTAAATTTTTCAGCAGGGGGGTCACTGTAAAGGGAGAGAGTAAAGACAGACAATTAAAGTGTTACTAAACCCACAACAGTAAAATCAGTCTGTATATGCAGTAAAGCATGCTTGTTATACTCTCTGTGGAACCTAAGGAGTTAATCCCCTGCACTGTGTAAAAAGGCCATTGGATCCTGACTTTTCTGCTCCTCCTCTTGTTCAAATATCTATGTCTTATCTCCTGATAAGACAGACTGGACCATAGCCATTCTGCACATGCTCAGTTTAGTGTGTATTGCTAGAGAGTGTTTTATTTTCTTGGGAGAGTGCATGTGATCAGCACAGGGCCAATCAGCACTGTCCAGACAGAGGTCAAGGGTTTTGCATCCTCCTAGAGCAGAAATAAAAATCCTCCTACAAGCTTTATCCAGTGCTCTGCTGAACACTGATAGAAGTCACAAGATTGCTTTAACTGCTGATGAGAAAAGGTATTTAGCAGCTTATATTTACTAAAATAATTGTACTTTCATGTTCTGTATACTGTGGGAGACCAGATATAGTAAATGCAAGGTCCTGGGTTTAGTAACACTTTTACCCCCTTTCCTGACCAGGCCATTTTTTGCAATACGGCACTGCGTTACTTTAACCGCTTTAGGACTGCCCTATACCAGATATACTGCTACAGGGCGGCACCATTTCCAGTTAGGGGGCACACACGCGCGCCCCACCCGTGCCACCATTCACGGCCTCAGATGTCAATCACCGTCAGGGAGGAAAGATTGTTTTGTTTACAAACACTCTTCCTCCCTGTCAGCTCGAGCACACTGCTTGGGATGGCTGTGCACAGTACAGTGAAGAACACCCCCCACCCCCTAGTAAAACACTCCAAGAACAGTTAACCCTTTGATCGCCCCTCACATTAACCCCTTCCTGCCCAGTGCCATTAGTACAGTGTCAGTGATTTTTTTTTAGCACTGATCACTGTATTGGTGTCACTGGTGTGTCAGTGACACCAAGTTAGTTCCCCCCCAGTGTCAGAATGTCCACTGCAGTTCCGTAGTCCCGCTAAAAGTCGCTGATTGCCGCCATAACTAGTAGAAAAAAAAAATCCCATTATCTATACTGCAATTTGTAAACTTTCACTTAAACCAATTAATTTACATGTATTGGGATTTTTTTTAGCAAAGACACGTCGCAGAATACATTGTGGCCTAAATTGAAGATGAAATTTTATTTTTTTTATTTTTGTACTGGACATGTTTAATAGCAGAAAGTCCAAAATATTGTTTTTTTCTAAAAATTGTAGGTCCTTTTTTGCTTATAACGCAAAATATAAAAAACGCACAGGTGATAAAATAGCACTGAAAGAAAGCCTAATCCATGGAAAAAAAAACAACGTAAACTTCATTTGGGTGCAGCGTTGCATGACCACACAATTGTCAGTTAAAATAACGCAGTGCCGTAACGCAAAAAATGGCCTGGTCATGAAGGGGGGTAAATCCTCAGGAGGGCAAGTGGTTAACTGACAATTGCACGGTCATGCAATGCTGCACCCAAATTAAATTTACGTCTTTTTTTCCCACGAATAGAGCTTTCTATTGTTGGTATTTGATCACCTGTACATTTTTTATATTTTGTGCTATAAAAAAATAGACCGCCAATTTTGAGAAAAAAAACTATATTTTTGACTTTTTGCTATTAAACTTGTCCAATAAAAAAAAATTGAAAAATCAAATTTCATCATAAATTTAGGACAAAATGTATTCTGCTACATGTCTTTGCTAAAAAAAAATCCCAATACGTGTAAATTAATTGGTTTACATGAAAGTGATAACGTTTACAAATGGCGGTATATATACTGAAATTTTTTTTTTACTAGTAATGGCGGTGATCAGCGATTTATAGCGGGACTGCGGCGGGCATTCTGACACTATGGGGAACTGTCTTGGTGTCACTGACATTCCCAGTGACACCAATATAGTGATCAGTGCTAATAAAAAGCACTGACACTGTACTAATGACACCGGGCATGAAGGGATTAACATCTGGGGCGATCAAAGGGTTAACTGTGTGCTGTGTGTGTTTTTACTATGGGGGGCTGTGTGTGTGTTTCACTGTAAACACACTGCTTTGTATGGTTATGCAGAGCCATACAAAGCAGTGTGCAGGAGCTGACAGGGGAGAGATCTGTATTGTTTACATACAGGTCTCTCTCCCCTGTCGGAAATCCTTGGAGGTCACCGGGTGTCGGCAGGGAATCACTGGCTGAGACCCGTTGATTGACAGCCCGTGCAGCAAATGGTGCTGCGGGTAGGGCGTGCACACACGCCCCCTACCCGGATCTGCAAAATCACACATATATATATATATATATATATATATATATATATATATATATATACGTGATTTTGTGCACCTGTGCTGCCCTGTAGCAGTATTTCTGCTATAAGAAACGGTTAAAGTTCACCTTTTCGGGCAGAATTTCACTTCTTACAATAAATAGAAACCTTTTCTAATGCCCAAGCCATTCCAGTATGCTCACTTACCTAGTTCAAGGCAGCCTTCAATCTTCACTACTCTGTTCAAAATGTTAAAAATGAATTCTGATATCAGCACTTCTTGTATTATCATGTGACAATTCAGGAAACTTCATATCCCATCATGCACTGCCTTACTGCATCACAGAATAGGGCAGTGTTTCTCAACTCCAGTCCTCATGGACCCCCAACAGGTCATGTTTTCAGGATTTCCATTATTTTGCACAGGTGATTTGATCAGTTTCACTGCCTTAGTAATTACCACAGCTGTTTCATCTGAGGGAAATCCTGAAAACATGACCTGTTGGGGGTCCATGAGGACTGGAGTTGAGAAACACTGGAATAGGGCATGTTTTACCACTTTGGACTACACCTCCCTCATTACTGTACCACCACTTTTTTCCACCCACTTTCCTATTTCTTCCTTTACAGTGGCCATACAATCAGATTGTGCAATCTCCTTTAGATCTAGCATCAGCTATGTAGTGCAAGGGCCTGTCTGATTTGATACAAATTGAATAGATTGTTCAGGAGGGTCCTCTATTCCATCGTTTTGGTAAATCTATAGGAAATTGTACAACGTTTGCACAATCAGATTACATAGTGTATGGCCAGTTCTTGTACAAGTACATGGGAGGGAGTAGATGGAGACACTCAGCTGTCATTGTTCTTGTGTAAACACACCAAATTCACTTTCAGGTCCCATTCCACTCCTAGTGTATTGGGAGTGCATGTTTTTTTAGCACATTTTTTGGCTACCCTATCATCAAAAAATGTGGCTTATGGAACATTTTGGCGTGTTGCAGTTTGTATGTTTTTTACTGAACATTTTGGCGAGTTTGTTGCACATTTTTGGACATGGCAAAATGTGCATTTGTTTCCCTGTTTGGGTTACCCTCCACAAGTAATGACACTGAAAGCGTGACTAGTTCATTTTACCACCCAAATCGTCCACTCCACTCCTCCCAAGATATCTTCCTCTCTAGCTCAAACATCACCTCCTCCCACGCCTGCCTCCAGGACTTCTCCAGAGCCTCTCCCATCCTCTGGAACTCCCTACCACATCATGTCCGGTCAGCCCCCACCCTGTCTGCCTTTAGGTGATCTTTGAAAACTCACTTCTTCAGGGAAGCCTACCCCACCTCCACCTAAGAACTGTACTTGAACCACCTCCACCAGATCATCCCCCGCAGCTATCACTTTTTGTATCACCTCCCCCTTCCTTTAGATTGTAAGCTCCACGAGCAGGGCCCTCATATTCCTTCTGTACTGAAATGTATTGTAATTGTACTGTCTCCCTTATATTATAAAGCGCTGACCAAACCGTTGCCGCTATATAAATCCTGTATAATAATAATAATAATTTTAGGTGTATAAAAGTGGCCATACACTATGCAATCTGATTGTATAATCTCTGTACAATCTCCATTTACCAAAACGATATAGTAGGAGGACACACCTATCTATCCAGCACTTTGTATCCAATCAGGCAGGCCCTTGCACTACATAGTTAATGGCAGCTCTATAGGAGATTGTACAATCAGAATATATAGTGTACGGTGAGTTTACAAACTTCCAGGGACTCATTACTCCTGTTTTCAATACTACAGCTTTACTCCACATAGGCTGTTATGTGATCGATCAGCTCCTGCACACTCTGTCAAATGAATGATCAATGCAAGAAGAAGGTAAGGTACAAAATGAGGAAAACCCTGGCTGTGTATTCAGTGAGAATGGTGCTCACTAACATTGGATGCATATGAGTACAGAGGTGGGCAGGAGCAATCTCAGGAACAGGTTTAGGTTGTGTTAATGAGGTCAGCTGCTGAACTACCTCCTGAGTCCCAAAAACCAGGACAGACACCCGGAAGTAATGGAGGAGTTTTCAATAGCAAACAGTGGAGGCTGATGTAAGGCCTGTTCTAGAATCTACAGAAAGCTTTTTCTTTTCTGCAAGAGAGGCATATTATTGGTATTATGGTACATAAAGAAGCTGAAATTTAGAGAAAAAAAAAGGTGACATAGCCTTTAATAACAAATGTGGTGGACATAGATATTGTAGTAAGAACCTAATGTGGGGCTTAGGGGTAAAGAGGAAATCAGTATTTCTCCTCAGACATAATCATACCCTATGTATTTCATATTGGCTTGGTGCAGCTTTAACATTTCTGACCATACCTGAGAAATGGATCCATGATGCATGGACCTGAGGGACATGAGCAGTTCTTGTCATCATGAGACATTCCCAGGTTGTGGCCAACCTCGTGGACTAACGTGGCTCCAATATCAATTGCTGAAGTGCTGTGATCCTGAGGCGAGAAGGGAATGTAAGGGAGGACTAGATACAGGAAGCAAGTAAACAAAGCCTAGAAATAGTTATAGACATGTACAGTAAAAGCATATAACTTCAAGATCTTCCAATGGTATTTTGAAACTACAAATCCCAGCATGGAATTCATTCCTGCATTCTTGCATCAGCATTGTGAGACAATAGAAAGGTGTTATTGATATGATAAGATTTATTGTCATTATAAAAAAAATTTACAAACAAAAGTTGCTAATAGGGAGTCAATGGCTATGATTTATCAAGCTATCACCTAAGAAGTCCTCAATAAAAATATGGGCATGCTAAATTGACATACAATAACATGGGTTGGGTGGTTATTTTCGCATGCCTAAATCCCAAATTCACCTTTAGGTTGACTCACAATCCTTTGTTTCTTTAGTCCCCATCTCCTGTATTTTTAAAAAGCATTTCCATACCCCATAGCCTGGGCTTATAGGAGAAAGCTGCATAGAATGGCAGGGTTGGCCAGTAGAATGAATGGGAAGGGGAGACAATAAACATGGAACTGGTTTAAAACACTATTCGGTTCTTCTACAGTGATTTTTTTTTTTTCCTGCTGTTTTGATGTGTTCCGGTCTGAATATGGTCTTTTGTCATTTTTTTTTGTATTTTTATCCCTAGTAGACATGCATTTTTTGATTTACAAATGTGGCTTCTTAGCCCATATTTTTTGATGCATTTTTTTGTATGCATTTTCTTTTTTTTTTATATGCACTTTTTGTATGAGTTTTTTTGCATATATTTTTGATTTACCGAGTGGCTTCATTTAGCCCATATCTTCTTGGGATATTTACTCACTTTTATTTGTTTGTTCTCCCACGTGTTTTGTTATTTATTTTTCATTTATAATTTTTTCATAATTATTTTTTCACATATATTTTTATCTATTATTCTTTTTCTCTTTTTTATTCCACATCACTTTTTTTCTTTCTTTCTTGCCTTTCTTGTTCTCTGAGATCACTACTTATGATACAATGGTTTTATATGTCTTGTTACAATGTATTAGTAGGCGTACCCTCAGGATTCAGGAGTGCTGATTAGGACAGGTGTTCTTTATTAACTAATACCTATATAAGACAGCACTTTTGTTGTTTTCTCTTTGTTATGATTAAGGATGAGATCATGTGAAATTTGTTAACAGGTCCTGTTTTCATGTCCTGGTGTTTTTTGTGTGTCCTATGCATCAATAAATACACACTATATTCATCTATCCTCCAGTGTACGGCTGACCCTTGTTCCTATTGTTTTTGATATGACTGTTGTTGATGTTACACTAATAAAACATGATGGAATTTGAAGTTTCTTCGGTACTGGGCCATTTAATTTATTTCCTAACTTGCAACATCAGGCAGGCTGAGATCCATTGGAGAACAAAACACGTAGTGTGTCAGATCCTTCAGGTGGCAGCAGACCGTGTCTTATAAAATAGAGCCACTAGACCAAACTGCAAAGTGAGAACATTGACTGGTCATGCAGCAAGGCCATGCCCTATCAGTGGTCTACTTAAATGAGCGTGACTGGGTTAATGCAAGAATTTCAATATTTATTCTTAAAGTATTATATGGAAGATTTATACCTAGTGATGCATCGATATATTGGTTGCTGAAAATTATCATCCGAAAAATAGGGTTATCAGCATTTGGCCAATAAAAAAAAATATGCCCATTAATTATTGTGCAGCATATAATGTACTTACTTATATCCATATATAAGTACATGTATATACTTTCAATAAGTTATTTTACATTACTGGATATATATATATATATATATATATAAATAAAAAGAATATAAAAAAAAACTCTCCATTTTGGCTTCGGTCCAGAATTTTCATTTTGGTGCACCTCTATTTATACCTCCCCACACCCAAATCCTTGTCTGCAAACTGCTTCACCTCAGTTCAGATATAAACCTTCCAATCATAATACCTTTAACTCCTTGGCACCGGCGCCTCCCAGCCCTTTAAGGATTTCAGAAGCCAGGAGGTGGGGCGAGGTTTTAGGGTCATGTGACCGCCATGATTTGCCGTCACGGCGGTCACATGATCGGGAAAGAGGAGATCGGGACCTTTCCGTGAGTACCGGACATGTGTGCTGGGAGCGCGCAGGGCGCGCGCTCTCAGCACATATGTTTTTTTTAATTGCACACAAATGTGCGGCTGCTCGGCGTCTAGGCCCAGACACCGGGAGGCCGCAAATATGTGTGCGGCTGGCGTGAAGAGGTCAAAAATACTGTTCGTAGAATACAACTATATTGATTTAAGACTGAAGGGTCACATTTGTGTACACTTATTATTGTGACCTGTTCTGTATTAGGTTATGGAATCTCACCTGAACGATTCCTGTAGAATACATTTCACTGCACATTAACCCAACATTTCCCAGTCCGACTGTAATACCCTCAAAATCTATATTCCTGTGAAACAAACACAAGTATGTAAGAAGTACTGATTTCTATCTGGCAATGTGTACAAATTCTGCCACTGTCCATGCTGTAGACCTGGTTGAAGAAATTCTAACTTTCTTAATTTCTATTAGGGTTGCATCGATATTGGTATAGGTATCAGTGCCGATACAGTGTACTTGCACGAGTACTCATGCTCGTGCTAACGCGCCTGATACCTGAAACCAATACCTTTGCGGTCCGATGTGAGCCCATACAAAATAAATAGGCTCAAATCGTACTGCAAAGAATCGCATGCGATTGGAACAGGAATGCAGTACAATTCCTGTCCAAATCGCATGTGGTTTCCCCCACCACTCCTGTGTGATCCCAGTATAGAAAGACAGGGAAACACCATCTAAGAAGTGCAGTAATGGGCAAACAGACAGGTTTTTAATTTCATAACAACTCACATGGTAAAAGTACATACAGTGCCTTGAAAAAGTATTCATACCCCTTGAAATTTTCCACATTCTGTCATGTTACAACCAAAAACCTAAATTGGGATTTTATGTGATAGAACAATACAAAGTGGCACATAATTGTGAAGTGGAAGGAAAATGATCAATGGTTTTCAAATTTGTTTACAACTAAATATCTGAAAAGTGTGCCGTGCATTTGTATTCAGCCCACTTTACTCTGATACCCCTAACTAAAATCTAGTGGAACCAATTGCCTTCAGAAGTCACCAAATTAGTAAATAGAGTCCACCTTTGTGTAATTTAATCTCAGTATAAATACAGCTGTTCTGTGAAGCCCTCTGTAATAAAAGGCGCTGTAATATGTATATCTTGCATGTTACATAGTTACATAGTTAGTCTGGCTGAAAAAAGAAAAAAGTCCATCCAGTTCAGTCATGTAAAAAAAAAAGCTATAATCCTATACCCACAGTTGATCCAGAGGAAGGCAAAAAAAACCCAGCAGAGCATGACTCAATTTGCTCCAGCAGGGAAAAAAATTCCTCCCTGATCCCCCGAGAGGCAATTGGATATTCCCTGGATTAACTTTACCTATAAATGTTAGTATCCAGTTATATTCTGTGTATCTAAGAAACAATCCAGGCCTTTTTTCAAGCCATCCACTGAGCTGGCCAGAACCAACTCTTGAGGGAATCTATTCCACGTTTCCACAGCTCTCACTGTGAAGAAGCCTTTCTGTGTTTGGAGATTAAATCTCTTTTCCTCCAGATGTAAAGAGTCCCGCTTGTCCTTTGTGATGACCTCAGGGTGAATAACTCTACACCGAGTTCACTATATGAACCACTGATGTATTTTTATATATATATATGTCAAACCCAAAACCACAGATGCTTGCGGTGCTCACAGGGCTGGAGAAAATGTAGGAGCCCTGTGGATATAGGGCAGAAGTGATGTCAGCTTGGGAGCAGACTGCCTATACATCTCCTCCAGCCCTTTGATTTTGGATTTGACATGCAAGATATACGCACTATGTAGTTTTACCGTGTGAGTTGTGATAACATTAAAAACCTGTCTGTTTGCCCATTGCTGCACTATTTAGATGGCACTTCCCTGTCTTTCTATACTGGGAACACACAGGAGCAGTGGGGGAAATCACATGCGATTTGGACAGGAATCGCACCTCATTCCTGTTCAAATCGCATGCGATTCTTTGCAGTACGATTTGAGCCCATTCATTTTGTATGGACTCATATCGCACTGCAAAGGTATCGGGACTCGGTATTGTCGAGTACTTGACTGAAAGTACTCAGACAGAAATGACCCAGACAGCCCTTAGACCTTAACGGATCAAGTCTAGGACATAGGAGTAACTGCTGCTCCACTGTGAGGTAATAAAAAAAAAGAAAGAAAGATGGGAGAGCCTGCCTGGGTAACTACACCTCTTTCCTGGGTCAGTTGAAAAAATACCATTTCTACACTGATGACACCCAAATCTATCTCTCTACCTCCCAGCTCATTCCATCAGTCTGCACACACCAGGGGTGGACTGACAACTCATGGGGCCCCCAGGCAATAGGGGATCATGGGGCCCCTATGTCCTTGCCCAAACTCAAAAAAGCCTATGAAAAAGGTACCAGGGGCATCTCATGGGGCCCCCTACTGACCCCGGGCCCTCGGGCAGTGCCCGAGTTTCCAAATGGTCAGTCCGCCCCTGCCACGCACATCACTAATTTACTAACACACATATCGGTCTAGATGTCACACCACTTCCTCAAACTCAGTCTATCCAAAACCAAGCTCATATTATTTCTTCCCCCATGTGCCCCTCTCCTGATGTCTGTCAAGATCGATGGCACAACTATCAACTCGTCTCCGCACGCTAGGGTGCTAGGTGTTATTCTTGACTCTGAACTATCCTTTCGGCCCCACACTAAATCGTTGTCCAAAGCTTGACACCTCAACCTACACATCTCCAAAATACGCCCTTTCCTAACAAATGACACCACAAAGCTTCTAATTAATTCCCTGGTCATCCCTCGTCTCAACTACTGCATCTCCCTCCTCATTGGCTTACCTTTACATACGCTATACCACCTTCAGTCCATCATCAATGCTGTTGCCAGACTCATCCACCCTACCAACCGTTCAGTGTCTGCTACCCCTCTCTGCCAATCCCTCCACTGGTTTCCACTCACCCAACAAATTGAAGTCACAATACTAACAGCAACTTACAAAGCCATCCACAACTCGGCCCCCAGCTACATCACCTAGTCTCAAAATACCAACCAAATCATTCTCTTCGATCCTTCCAAGACCTCCTGTTCTCTAGCTCTCTTGTCACCTCCTCCCATGCTCACCTCCAGGACTTTTCTCAAGCCTCTTCCATCCTATGGAACTCCCTATCACAATCTGTCTGACTACCTCATAATCTGTCCACTTGTATGCAATCCTTGAAAACCCTTCTCTTCAGAAAAGCCTATTTGCTCCCACCTAACAATTGTACTCTTATTTCTCCATTAGCTCATCCTCCACAGTTCTTACCTTTTGTATCACTCGATCATCTCTCTTAGGTTGTAAGCTCTAACAAGCAGGGCCCTCTGATTTCTTTTGCATTCAATTGTATTGTAACTGTACTGTCTGCACCGTGTTGTAAAACGCTGTGCAATTTGTTGGCACTATAAAAATCCTGTATAATAAAACCAATGATACAGCTTAGTAGCCTACTGCAAGAGTCCCTCCAGTCACTGGCCACCTGTGAGGTAGCAAAGACATTGACCATTCCCTGATGCTGTAAATGAAGCTTGCTAGGGTAGATCATGTTATATTGAGGGACTTTATCCTGCAGTCACTTCCTCACCTCAGTAAAGAATGTCTCTTCTGTATTTTGGCAGAAAAGTCTGGGAACAGCATCATTCTAGCATTCTCATAGCTATGCTCAGGATGTTTATAAGCTTCCACCCCTGTCTAGAAATTCAGAAACCTTACCAGGAAGGGTTGCAACGGAGTGCAAGAAGTTTGTTGGCCTGTAGGGACTATGCGGGCTCCCTATATAACAAATATAGGGGATACCTCAATCAAATCCAATATAGTTTAGTTAGGCTTGTGATCCAGGTATCCTTGCCGGAGAGCACTGACAGATTTGTGATCTTATTTTTCTCCACTGCAGTAGCAATTCTCAGTCACAGACCTGCCCTGAGCCTGTTGTTCAGGCTGCTCTCTTCTCTTGACACCAAGCTTCCAGTGTTAGAACAGTACTAAACAATGCAATAAAAGCCTTACTGGCCATGATGCTAATATAAAGGTAAATGTAAAGAACCTAAGCTAGTATGAAACATTTATGGAATATTTGTGACCCAGTTTGGGTGAATATACAACTGGATGAAAATTGGATTTTTGTACTTACCTGTAAAATCAATTTCTTGGGAGTACACAAGCAGGTTATAATTCATGACTACCTGGGTTATGTACCGGGGTTATGCGCCACCTATAGATGAATGGACACTGGCAGAAACAAAAAGACAGCAAGTTACCCCTATATAACCTCTCCCATCCAGGAAGAATCTCAGTTATGTAGCAAGCGATGAATCCCCAAGAAAAGGGAAGGACCTCTGTGCCCAGTGATATATTCCAAAAAATGGATTTTACAGGTAAGTATAAAAATGCAAGCACAGAGCAGGTTATAAATCGTAACTCCCTGTGATGTCCCAAAGCACTGCAAATGAGGGGAGGGAGACACAGTAGCCACCGCTAGGCCCAAAGAAACCACACTGCAGCCCACAAAACACTACAGGCAAAAGCAGTATCTTCAGTGGCCCTTGCATCCACCTACAGTAGTAAAAACCTTGTAAAGGTGTGTACCAAAGCCCATGTCGCAGCCTTGAAACCTGATCCCACTGATGCCTGATGATGGATAGAACAAGAGGCTCCAACCCTCCTGGTAGAGTGAGCCTTCACTTGAAAAGGTGAAACCTTATCCTTCAACCCCTAGGCCTGGGCAATAAACTGATGAATCCACTGTGAAATAGGCATCTTAGTAACTGCCAGACCCTTCCTTAGGACCTTCAGGAAGGATGAACAAAGAATCCAGAAGACACTTTTAAACACATTTTTAATAGCCTGAACTACATCTAATGTGTTAAGAACTCCCGGTGACTGAGGCCTGGCAAAAAAAGAAGACAAAACAATGTCCTGATTAAGGTGAAAATTTTAAACAACCTTCAGCAAAAATTAGGTTAAAGAACTACCCTGTCATAGTGAAGAAATAAAAAAAGGCCCGAGTACAAGTACCAAGTGCCATCTAAGAAAAAAAATAATTAATATAAGGCCCAGACATGGCTCAAAAGGTTGTCTCTATAAAACTTACAACACCAAACTAAAGTCCCATGGTGACAAAGGTGACCTGACTGGAGGCACCATGGGGTCAATTTATAAAGGCAAATAGACTGTGTACTTTGCAGAGTGTAGTTACTCCAGAGCTTAGTAAATGAGGTAAAGCTTCACTTTGCAAAAAATACCCAATCACATGCAGGGAAAATAAAAAACAACATTTTTGCTTGCATGTTATTACCATTTACTGCATGTCCCCAGTTACAACTACTTGCCATGACCTCTGTGGGAGGGGTGAGCTATCTCAGATTAGACAGGTGCAGTTCGTTTTGTTCCAAATTGAAATTGGGACAAAATTTTCATTATTTGGAATTTTCGGATGTATCCACATTTCTGAATTAAACAGTAGTGAATTTCAGTGAATCCAAAATAAATATGGAAGTCATCAGAGATTCTGCTCATTTACTAAGCTCTGGAGCAACTGCTGTTGCAGAGTGCACACTCTATTTGCCTTTAATAAATCAACCCCCATGACACCTTGAACAAAAGTATGCACCAAAGAGAAAGAAGCAATCTGGCCTTGAAAATAGCCAAGGCTGAAAACTGTCCTTTGATCATACCCAAGGCCAGCATCATATCTACTCCAGACTGAAGGAAAGCCAAACTACAGCTCACAACATACTTGCAAGGATGCAACTTCCTAGCCTCACACCACGCCACATATTTCCAGGTATGCCGGGGCAGCATATAGCCTGAGTATAAGTAGGAATGTAGGAAAAATTACTGTATCACCTGATCTTTGGACTTTTCTGTACTTTTCTGTATTTTATACAGTAAAGCATTGAGACTTTGCCTTCCACCTGGTTTGAAGTTCTTTAAAGGAGTGTAATACAAGTAACCAGCACCTAGAGTCTAAGGTTTGGGTAATGTAACACATGGGGTATGAAGAGCCAGCAAGAGTCATTCTAGTGCAAAGTATCATATGTCATTGCCATGAGTAACAGAAATTCTGTTAGCAAGCAGCCTGTCAGAAACATGTGACTGTTATAGGTGGGTCAGCCTCTAGCCACAAGCGAGATGTCAGCTTTCCCTATGCAGCATTCTGTCTTCCTTAGCATTGCAGAGGTCACCATCCTGTACAGAGGTTCAAGAGTTAAAGTCAAGAGCGCGATGGAGCCCGCACTATGTGCACGGCAGGGTTCCATGCTGCTACCGGGACAGGCAGGGCCAGTGCTTCCACTAGGAAAACTAGGCAGCCGACTAGGGAACACTGCCACCTAGGGGCAACTGGGCAGAGCACAGGCCTGCACTCTCTCTGTGTGGCCTGTGGACCTCTTGTATGAATTCTTCATTTCTCTGCAGAGCCCCCTCTCCTCGTACACAGGGATGACATTAGTCCAGGACCCCAGGTGGTTAACAGTCTCTGATTGGAGGATTGGTCCTTTCATCTCCTCCAGCTATAACAGGGAGCTGGATAGTGACCAAATTGGGCGTGTCCAGTGCTGGCTCCACCTTCTTCTACATAGCTGAAGCCAATCAATAGGCAGGGGTGTACTCTGTTTGCAGGGTTAGCCCTATGTGAGTAAGATGTTTGGAGCCCGATGTGTATGAGAGGGAAGCGGTGTAGTGCTGGTAGGCCGTTTGTTCCCACTGACAGCCGCAGCCTGGACTCCGCATCCCAGCAGGAACCATCAGAGGTGAGCTGAGGCTAGGATTTTTTTGTCTATATATGTATAAATTATGGGATCATAGTATACACTTTGAGATACCTATTTACAATTTCATGGTTTTATTTGGGGGCATGTAGTGATACTAGTCCCCAAATAATTGCACATTTTCACTTATCTGTATTTCTATTTTCATTTTTATGTAGCACCTACCTATTTATATCACATACTGACACCAGCGTGGGCACCCACTAAATTAGGGGCAGCTTCATACTTCATTATATGTTATTTTGTCACAGTTGGCGCCTCAAATAATTATTTTTTATTTTCTAATCTGCCCAAGAAGCTGACAAATTTTCCTTCATAACACAAGTCCCTGTTTTAGCCACAAGACCAGACAGGCATAATGGTTTAGATTATCCTGATAACCCTGGCCTTCCTGGGAAAACCACAAAGCAGGGCCACGTCTAATGTCCACATGAACTGACAGCAACAGCTGCATGTTCCCACCTTTCCTCTTTTTAGGAGACATCAGCCTGCAAAGAAGAGCAACAAGACCTGTACCTACATAAGAAAGCCCCACTCAACTTAAAAAGCTGTTTGTGCAAAGAGCAAAAATGTGGTATCTCAGGGGAAGCCCCAGCTGCTAGTGCCAAGTCCCCAGCAGGTAACTAACATAACCCACAAGCTATCCTGAGCCTGCCTTGTGTTCCCCTGTGCCTCCTGCCAGGGTTTTCCTGTACCTCCTGTGTCATGCCTGTTACTATGTTTGGGCTAAAAAACATTCATATTTAATAATGATAAATATGGCTGCTCCATTTTGTTGCCACACACACAAGGAGGCTTTGAACAGATCAAAAATTGGCAAGAACATATGTTCCCCACCCCCTGGTGGCTGGGGGCACAATAGCATACCGCACACAGTGAACACAGGCTGCCTATAGCAAACACCTCCCAGAGGGGAAAAGAGAAACGGTACACATATACAGCTGGAGGCAAACAACCAGCCCTAGCAGGAAAAACAGTGAACACAGTAGCTCAATATCAATTGCCCCCTGTGACGCAACATGGTGCCCGACCCCTTCCCTTCTCACAAAGGACCAGCCAATCTCACACTGCGCTGTCACTTGCATAACAATGCCACTCTCAGCTGCACCCTACACAGAGATTTTCCAGCTTGCAGGACCGCAATCTATGTGCCAGCAGCCTGAGAGCAATTGTCACTGGGTTAATTAATTACACAACCCTTTAAACTCCAAACTGCCACCAGATAGTTTTGGGCCTATCAACCCTTCACAATGTTAGCGAGAACAAATGCGAACAATAAACATCTGTAACACACACTGTCACCACAGACAAGTATATTCAGAGTATTATTACATGCAGTAGCACTCTTCAAGAGACAGGGATTCTTTAGTTTGCAATAAAAGCTTTAGAGACAGTTTCAACACTTTTCAAAATAGGGTTTATTATTAAAAAGGACAAAATTTCGCAATTAAAATGTTTACAGAAAAAAGATGTTACACAGACATAAAGAGAACAATAAAGCAACAGAGAAATAAAAGAAAGAAGTTAAGAAGGCAGAATACTTGCAAACTCCTGGTTTAGCAGAATCCAAATGTCCGAGCAAAAAATGTTGCCTTGGCTCTCAAATCCGTTAAGATGTTCCTTGATTGATGTTAAAGGAGAGCTCCCCCTTCACAAGTCCTGTCACTCCTTTTCTATGATATCAAGGGGGGTGAGGACAGAGACAAACTGACCAATAATCTAGTTTAAGGGATGGGTGTTGGGAGGTCACGAAATGTAAGTCCCAACTACAGTTTTATAGTAATATTAAACTCCAATACGTGCAGGTGGTATTCTAGCAACTGGCAGATTAAAATTCAGAATTGTATTTCGAACTCAGGGATACTAAACACAGCGTACCTTTGTCACCTAGGACAGAAGAGACTGCTTTCACCCCTTTTCTATGAGCTAACATAGTTAGGTATAACCTTGATTTGTTTGGTATTATATTCCCTGTTCAAATATATACCTAATATTAATGTGCTCTGTTCCTATTGAATTCTATGAATCGTATGTGGAATTGTTACATGTGGAATAGCCGTTTTATGGCACATTCTGCATTCCTAGAGCTCTAATGTCCTTACAGGTCATGTGTGACTGCATGCCTGAGTTATTATTGTTTTACAATGGGGCAAAGGAAAGTGTTTTCCATGGTTCATGGAAAACAGACATCCTACCAATACTAATTAGCTGTTTACAGCCCTGGACACTGGCATCTATTTGTGCTTTATTTAAGATAAGAGGCTCTTTAAAAGTTCATTAAAAGTTACATCTACAAATTCCAGTTTTCAGGAGGAGGGAGGAGGGGAGGAAGATAATTGCTCATGAAAAACAGAATTCTGAGACCTTAACAAGATGGCTGTCAAGTACAGCTTCCATGTCTCTATTGCACTCAATTGTTAAGCCCCCTAGTAGGGGAAAGGAGGAAAAGGCACACATGAATTTAAAAGCAGCAATAAAACAGATACCAAAATTGACTTACAGGAACTTACCAATCTCACGGCAGGATCTGTCTGGAAAGACCACGATCCAACTTTCACCCATTCCGGCGGATAATGTCTAAGTAGACCCTCAGGGACTCAATCCCCCTATCTTAGGGTCCCCTGCCCTGGACCTGTACAGCACTCTAGTGGAAACACCTTGGTGAGTCATTACTGCACAGGCTTACGCATATGCAGGGTCCAGTGCCAAATTGTTGCATTACAGGCAGTTCCCGCATGTTTTTCCCAATCCCATCATAGCATAGACCGGGCACAATCCATCTTAGTGTCACAGCTGTAGGACTGGATCCAGACAACACCAATCTCCTGATCCCTGCTGGAACCATTGAAAATCTGGTAGCATTATGCGGAAAGCTGCACATCAGTATCTATCACTTTCTGAAACTGAAACTGGTGAAAAAACTAAGATATGTCCTGTATGGGATGGGCTATATAGGGGAGGACATCCTGTCTATTTGTTTCTGCCAGTGTTCATTCACCTACAGATAATGCATAACCCAAGTAGTCCTGATTTATGACCTGCTGCATGTCCCGTAATGTACGAAAAAGAAATTGTGTTTTTGAATAATTAATAAAAAAAGAAAAAACTTTATCATGTTTGTTTTGCATTTTAGGGGGAAATATATGGCATTAACCCCAAAATATGGATATTACTGTTTGAGAACCAGATTATATCTGCAATCAAAGACTTACGTGATGAATTGAGCATTGTCATGTTCTTTTCTAGGCACTAAATTTTCCATTCTCCATAAAGAAAACTGTTTTAAAGTTTGCCAAGGTGAAGCGCTTACTTCAAACTGGTCCTTATTATCCCAGATCTCAAACCCAACAAGAACCACAGAAATGTTTAAACTGTTGAAATCCTATGTAAAATAGAAAAAGCAAAGCTTGCATTACAAGATGGCAAAAAAGTAGATTGAATTGTGTTTCCTCAAAACAGGGAAATAAAGAAATATTCACTTTTCTATATGATGCCAAACAGAATCCACTTACACTCCCTTAGCCACTATCTCAGCCGAATGAAGAAGTAATAGATCTTTAGGCAGTACGTAACTAAAACATGATACGGGAAACATCTATCTGCCCAGCTTCATGCTCTTACCTCTACTCTCAGACAGCTGAATGAGGCCACAGTAGCATCAGCCATCAACTGGCTTCCTGAGATTTGCATAATGTTTCTACAATCTCAGGACAGGCCTGTGTAAAGATAATGTGACAGGATCTTCAAGAGAGTTGACCCTAGGCACCAATGTTGAGACTATGTTATCTGATTATTGAAAAACTGTCTCCCATTACCAGAAAGAGTCTGCTACTAATGTTTGAAGGTTACATTTTTAGCATTCAAAGAAGAAATATTTTTTACCTTTTGAGCACCAATTGGGGAGGGGGGGGTACATGGTGATGAAGACCTCTGAGGATTCTACAAACCCTAAGAGGCTTCCTTGGAGAAAGGCTGTCAAGTAGCAAATGAGTACATAAACCATTGAAGAGTAATTACTGCTGTTAAAATTATGTACCTGATCTACATATAAGAAGTGTTTTGAAAAGCATTAAGCTGTCTGAACCTCCATTGTCCAAAGCTGTTCTATCAAAAGAACCTGTGAAGTCCACAACGGCTGTTGATTGATGTTCTACCTGGCAATTTACTTGTGTAGCGGGGCCATTGCCGTTTCCCTTTTAACCCCCCTGGCGGTATTCGGGGAAAACTTTCAGTACCAAAAGCTGTAACCCCGGGGTACACTCAGGAATGCCCTGCAGCGTTGCTCCGGGATCCCTGTTTCACTTACCTTGTTCTGCGCTCCTGCGATGTCCCCCCTGCAGTGTCCCCGGCCATGTCCTCTGGCCGATGCCAGCATCCGTCTTCCAGGTTCCGTTCCCTGCGAGCGTTGGGACGTACGGGGGGATTGAACGGCGGTAAATTAAAAAATTTTAAAAGTGACATTCACTCAATACACTTAAATCACATAGTAAAACATTACTGTATCAAACCATTTCACATACATTTTGTTCCTAGTGCTTTGTCCTGTGCCCTGCCTGCATTTTTACTGTTCTTTCTGCCTGGAAACTGAGAAACGTCCATAGCGTCCAAAAAGCGTCCCTTTAGGTCAAAAGCGGTTTTAGACCAGCTAGAGAACAGCGATAGTAAATTAGAACTACTTGCAGAATTGAGTGGTAATGATTTGTGGGGAAATTCGTCATCAAACACTGAAAACGATTTTGCGACTGAGCTCAGTGATGTGCAAACTTGGCGCTCTATTTCAAATTTCAGTGTTTTTGGTTTGATTACATTATTGAATTAAATGTATTATTATTGTTTAGGATTATTTATTATATTATAATTTATGATTTCGTGTTTCAATATCATACCGGGGATGTTTACTAGACTCTTGTTAAGACAGATTTCAGTGAGTTATTCCTAAGAATTACAGGCCTACAATAAAAAAACAGCATATTTCCATGCAAAAAAAAAAGTACTGCTTTGAGCACAGAAATATTGACATTATCAGACGGCTAGAGAGGGTAAAGAACTGTTTCCCTTTTAAGACTGCATGTTGGCAGAAAGGGTTTGATTTGCTCAGATCTCAGCAGTACTGGAGTGTGTTTGTGGGAGTTGCAGTTTCATTACAGAGGCAGACAATGTCACTTTATACTGCACAGAACTACAAGACCAGGATGCTTTGCAAGGAGGAAGGGGGGTGGAGGGGAGCCATGTGGGCCTTTGCAGGGGACATGTGGGGGCTAGTCTGCAGACCCCACTGTGAAGTACACTGACACTGTTTCCAGAACAGCAGAGGTTGCTAAGGACAACGGTTATCTACAGCAGCTGAAGTCAGCAGCAACTGTGATCATTGGTACCAGTCACCCGTGACGGCAGTTACCGACAGCAATGACATCTCCCCCTGCAGAGAGAGGTCAGAGTGTTGGAAATCACAGAGGAGGCCTGTGACCATCCCAGGTGAGGCACCTCAGAGATTGTGCAGCACCGACAATTGACAACAGGAAAAAACTAGCCAGAGAGACAGAGCCCCAGTCATCATCCCTTCAAGGAGTTAACCCATGGAGACTGTTCTTCTTAGATGTGATGAACAACTGCTAACCAGTGACATGTCAGTCCTTAAGAGCACTCCACCAATTCACTAACACAGGCTTGTGCAACACATAGACTTACACAGTGTTACAACCCTACAGTATACAAGTGAATTTCTGACTGAGCCTAGAGATGTCAGTTTAGCTGGGGACATATTGCTGCTATAGTTGCAAGGGGTTATACTCATCTATAGCTATACCGGTATATACATATATACATGAATATTGTGTTTATTGATGTGATTGTGCCAATTCTAGAAGGTTTGTGTATTCAGTGCATTTAACTGATATTTTCCAAGTTAATTTGCAGTCTATTTGCAGAGTTTTTCCCGTCTTACTAAACCTGTTATAAAACAAAAGGTGTACTCGTGTGCTGTGGATCCAATATATATATATGGTTCATCACTGAAGTAAAAAGAAAGAAAGAAAACATTTCTGCGCCAATGCAAAATAAATAAATCAATATTCTAAAATGTGAAAACACAAATAGTGATATTTATAAATTAAACAGCGCAAAATAGACCTACATACAAATGTTAATAAATCACAAAACATAAATGTCCCATGTTCATTAGTGAATATCTTATATCAAAAATCTTCAATAAAAACACCACAGGACCACTTGTGATGAGGACTGGGGATTCCAAATAATCTTAGGATCAAAGAAAACTTCCATCTTTCACCCGTGCACACCAACATCAAATGCGCTCACTGAAGTAAGGACAGAAGTGCCCGTTAATTCCAGCAGCTCCTCCGGGGGTGAGCGCTACACTTGTAAGTTGGTTCACTGTTTATATTGTGTTATCTGTTACACCCTGTATTGTATGGTTTGTACAGCCCTTATTTATAATTAAAGGACTAAAAAAAAAAACTCTGTGGAATTGATGTGAAGAGTGGCTGTGTAGACAAGGCACTAAGCATGTTTAATGGCTAGTGATGTTTCCTCTTCAATTCACAAACAGTCCCCCTGGCTCAACACTGAAAGTCTCTGACTTCCATCCAGATTTTACACCCTGTGCCCTTTAACCATTTCTCTAACTGCCCACTTCAAGCTTACTCACCATGTTCATAACATTAACCATTTCATGTACTTTGTTTTTCAAAGATGTTGTATTTTTGCCATATTTTTGATGCTGAAAAAAATGGAATTATATATCAACAAAAAATATTCAATATCATGATTTCATACAAGCTAATACTGTATTATGGCTGGGTCTTTTTTTTTTTAAAACAAAAAACACAATACTCACCATTGATAAATCAGCAACTATAACCATTTCTATATACTTCATTGATTTCAGAATTTTGTCAATTTCTTCCTACAAAGTTGAAATACATTAAACATTGTCAGCATGATACTTTCAATAGCTAACAAGCACCTTTTTACGGTTTCCGCAGAAGAAAATGCCAGTTGCTTCTTAGTGCATGGCAAACAATTGTTTTATAAAAGCTGCAATCTGTTCTGAGAAAGTACATTTGATTACTCTCACAGTGAGGAAAGCTTAGAAAAAAAACAAAATATGTCATTATTTATGTCAATAAATGGAAAAAAAGAATGTAAGGGGTGTCAGCATGACCACAGCCCAGGATAGGGCTGGATTGAGAGACACGTGGGCCCCCTAAACTAGCGCTAATAAGATATGTTGTGCTGGTGGCAGTATCTGGCAGAGGAAAGTCTTCCAGCACCTACTACCTTCACAATGATGAGATGTTATGTGGCCAAATGCCAACAACCTCAAAGGAAATTGATGGTGAAAAATTTGTAAAGGTGTGTTATAAAAGGCCACAGTAAAGCAATGAGATGTCACCAGCGCTCCATTGCAAACATCTCATTGTTTTATTGTTGCAGTGCCATCTGCTACAGTCACTATGACCACCCATCTATTTTTAGGTCGAACACTGAAAGAATTGTGGTCCTCATCCTTAGAATCCTTACAATAAGCCATGTCTTTTAAAAACATCCACCTTTCTCCATGCCCACCCATCAATGTGGAACACTAACATGCTGGATGGTACACTTTCTGTAGCCCACAGATATCTGTCCCTACCATGAAAGGTCTAGATAGTTGTCTATGCCCACCCCCCCTTCCCCTGGCCAAAGGTTTTCAGTTCTCCACTGTTGCTACTGACTTTTCTGATGTTCCACTGCATACTATTTCTCTAAAACCATTCACAGTAAGTATAACTACAGGAATAAGGAATGCCACACACAAAACTGTGTGCCATGGCTTTTAGGAGAAGAACCAGCTTATGCAAAGATGCAGGAGTCACCATGACTTGACAAAAGGGATTGAACATGGTCCCTAAACATTGGTTTTTAATGAATTTTTGATGTCTTGATGTAAAAAGCCTTTGTGATGCACAAGGAGGAATGTTGGTGACAATTTTCTTTTTAAGAATGTTTGATGGCTATATCCCTGTTTTTACTTCAGTGCCCAGAATCAAATTAAGAAGCATATACCAGTATTGTGTGTTCTAAATAATTGTACAAAGATCTGAGTATTGATTTTTTTTCCATAATATCTATTGGTGAGCAGTTGGTTTTACTGGAGAAAATAGAACATAAAATATAAACATATGCAACAATCCTTACTAATGGGTGCAATATCAATAATGAAACCTGTTAAAAATAAATAAAGATGGTCAGGAGTGGCTGTTTATCAAGAATATAACATTTGAATTCTAGAACTGAGGCCCATACCTCCATAGTGATAGCGCCATGGTGAACAATCTCTGGTTTTATTATGTATTGCTAGAATTCTTTTTAACAGTTTAACACACAACAATATTCCACTCCCTGTCTGCATCGCAGGTGTTACATCTTTAAGATCAGGTGCCTGTACACCCCTTTTACAAAATGGTTATACTACATATATTGATTGATTAATCTCTGAGCCCCTTTTATGGTACACATGCATTGTTGTTTTGTCCCTACCTCATTCTCTAGCTAGGGGATGGTCTAAGTAGTTAGTCCCACCCCTTTTCCTCATGCTTTAGCCCTCCATTCATCACATGTACTGTATTCTGCTGGAGCTAGACACAATATAATTTTTGACCTATCTGATGTTCATCTGTTATGATCTGCACATGCTTTAGATTAAAGCTTTCTATGATTTGCAGGATGTCATTTGGGTCATATCACTGTCTGCTAATTCTACTAAGACTGTATGTACAGCTATCTCAGCACAACTGGATCAGTTATAGAAATCACACTTTCAGTGCTTAGATTGGAGATCCAGAAGAGCCACAATACACTACCTTTGATGGTAAAATTAGTGCAGGATTCATCACTGACTTCTGTTAAGATTCTGCACAGAACCTGCATGGAAACAGAATTGCACAGAGACAGGAGGTAAATTCTATATTTGGTTGTCCTGTGGCGTGGATTCTGCATTCTGGACTAAGATCACCTGATGTCCCTCAACAATTTTCTTGCTGAAAATTAGAAATTACTGTTTATTCCTTCTGATAGGTAGTGGGGGATTGTTAACTGGGTGTTAGGGTTTGGAACAAAAGGGTTGTTTTATTAAAGGCAAATAGGCTTTTCACTTTGCAAGGGAAGTTTGATTTTGCAAGGGAATATTCCTCGGAGCTTTGCAAAGAAACACACAATCACGTGCAAGAAGAATAAAAAAACAACATTTTTGTTTGTACATGATTGGGTGATGAAAGTCTGCAGAGTTTCACCTCATTTACTAAGCTCTGGGGAAAATGTCCTTGCAGAGTAAACAGTGTATTTGCCTTTAGTAAATCAACCTCAAAGTGTTTAAGTTTTCAGTTGGAGTAGGAAGCACAAAGAGGGATTTACTAAAACTGGAGCACACACTATTTGGTGCAGCTGTGCATTGTAACCGATCAGCTTCCAGGTTTTACTGCCAAAGTGTAATTGAACAAGCTGAAGTTAAAAGCTTTAAAAATTAAAACACCAAATTAATAAAGTGTTTAAAGTGGTGCTGCATGAATAATCAATAATAAATACAATGATGAAAAAATATAATCACTATTGAGTTTTTATGGGTATTTACGATATATTTTTTCGTCATTATATTTTTTCATGATTGTATTTATTATTGATTATTTATTCAGCGTCACTTTAAATACTTTATTCATTTGGTGTTTTAATTTTTAAAGATTTTTGGGGGGTTTATATATAGTGGCAGCTCCTTTATATATAAGTTGCATTTGGCGTGATATAATAGATATTGATTACATCATCACATTTATTTTATATAATTTTCTGAAGTTAAAAGCTGACTGGTTACTATGTATAGCTGCAGCAGATTCAGGTTTAGTAAATCCCCCACAGTATGCTTGCATGTATTGTTATCTTTGCCCTTCATCTCTTGTATTTCTCTGTGCAAGTCAGTCAGAATGCAATGTGAACATGGTATTTCCTTTTAAAGGCTAACCGCTTTTTATTAGCAGCAGGCTGCATTTGATTTGCTTTTTTAAGGTGGTATTTAACCCCATAATAAAATGTAATTAAAATGTAAAATAATGCAGCTTACCAATCCTCAAACATGGTAGCTGCATTACTTTTCCTTTTTTTTTCCCCAGTATTGTCCAGCAGTATCGGGACAGGGTTGCCCACTGCCCAGGGCAAGGATTCAGAATTGTGCCCCACTCCCCCCACTTTTATTGTATGTCATAGAATGGGTGTATCACTCTGCATCTAATTGTTGCCCCCTTGCTTCTCTGCACCCAAGGCAGTTGCCCCTCCTGTCCACTCCTTGTCCCGGCCCTGTTGTCCAGCATGGAATGTGATGAGTACAGCATAGGGTTGCTCTTGTTCTATAAATGTTCTCTGGGGTCTTACCTTAGTATTGTTCATTGTCTCACCTCATTCATAGTAGGTAGCACATTCTGAGCTAACGTAGATCCCTCCAAATGTGTAGATGTCACAGCACAGGCTTTGGGGTTTTCTTCTTTTTCTTCATATACAATATGTTTTCCCTCTGCCAGGTTCAGTGGTTCAATTAAATATCTCTGGCCTTGTGTTTTGATGACCCCACTTTTAAAAAAATAAACAAAAAATACTGTTTAAACAGCAGTGCGGTCTTATAGCTACATTACATCCATCTTTAAAAATCCTAACAGCAACTATACATACTAAAATAATTTGAGAAGGTTATTTTTTTAATTTTAGGCAAGTCAGGCATACATTCAGAGGCTGGAGTGTGTATTCCTTAAACTATACTTGTTAGAAATTCCACATACTGTACATATGCTGTAGCTGTAGCTATGGCCTGTGCTAGACTATCTTGCGTACTAGGCAAGACCAACTACTACCCCACCAACCCCCCAAAAAAAATGTAAAACAGTAGAAAAAATATTAAATCAACAAAACATGAAACTGCTAAATTTCTTTTAATTTGCAAAAATAAGTGACATAAAATGCCACCAGCATCAATATTAAAGACAAAATATATAATAACCAAATATAAATTAACTGTATTAACCAATCAGACAGAGAAACAAAAAAAAGAGACAGAGTTAAAAAAACTCCATGGTGATCAGCAGCCACCAGCTGGCTTGCAGTAAGTGACTGAGTCTGAGAGGAACACTGGAAGGAGTGGCAGCTCAGCTGCTACACTGACACCCGGCATCTTCCTCTGTCCTTTCTTTCTCCCCCTCTGCCACCCCTCCCCTCAGCTGAAGGATCATTCATGAGGTGCCGGCATTCCACATGATCAATCAGCATCTGCTCCCCTCACCCTGACCATTGTATGCCCCCTTCCTCCTCCTGTCACCTCCATGACCCACCATCTTCCTAGGCACTGCTCACCTCTGATGACTCCTGACAGGCTGTGGCTGTCAGTGAGGACAGCTGGCCTTTCCAGCACTACACTGCTTCCCTCACATACACATCGGGCCCTGATCATCCTACTCACATAGGGTTAACCCTGCAAGCAGAGCACACCCCCGCCTATTGACTGGCTCCAGCTGTGTAGAAGAAGGCAGAGCCAGCGCTGGGCACATCCCATTTGGTCACTAGCTGGCTTCTTGTTACAGCTGGAGGATGTACCGGAGATGTATGGACCAATCCTCTGATCAGAGATTGCTGACCACCAGGGTCCTGGGCTAATGTCATCACTTCCCATCCTAGGGGGGGGAGCTGACCCTTCACTGTTACATGAATACTGTTTTATATATATATATTATATATATATATATATATATATATATATATATATATATATATATATATATACACATACATACATACACATCATTCCCTGTGTATGGGGAGAGGAAAATCTGCAGAGAAATGAAGAATTCATACATGAGGTCC